TTAACAAGCGGCCATCAAATTTACTACTATGTACACATCTTTTTGGGACACCCTGTATATGCACCATCCACTTTAGCAACAAGTCTAACTCTGCATCTTTTATTATTTGTTTCGTATTATACTCCACTGTAAGCAGCGATTATTTTCTGGAGATCCTTATAATAACTAAGTTTAGTGTTCCTTGATGCATTTACGTGTTTGTGTGTGTGCGCGTGTAAAGGTATGTATGTATTCATGCATATTTGCCACAATTACTAAAGGTTTTTGAAGCCGAAGCTCGTCTAAATAATATATAAATAATAATGCAGTCCGTACCGCAAAGAAAACACAACACTTTACCAATACGAAGATCAGTTCCGTGGCTGTATTATGTTGACCAACGTTTGCCAGAGAAATGCGTGTTTAAACATCTGCATATGGACTTTTGAACACCCTGTATAAGTATTGAACTTCGATGATAGATCTTAATAAAGAAGAATTTGTTGTTAATGCTGCGAAGAGGTCTAACTGCGTCTCTGTGGAACGTGGGGGGGGGTCTAACACACCCTTTGTCTATCCCCCAGATGATAACATGACTGAACACGAACAACGGTGGAATGATACTGACAGAGGAAAACCGAAAGACTCGGGAGAAATGCGTGTCCCAATCGAGCAGGGGCTTGCGAGCTGTTATACAGTGGAACGCATTTTTGATTTGAATCAATGAGATCGGTCCTTTGTGGAAATGTACGCTACAAATATAAAATCAGTCGACAAATATTTGAGGTTCCCAGTATCCCACGTCTGACTGATTCACATTTGCATTCTGTAACATGCACTGCATTTGCGTCAAATTCCCGGCCTGAAAATGGAGGGAGAATGTTCCCCCGAAACGTTGGTATCTACCCACATCCCAGCAAACCAACATCGACAGATACTCAGTACTTCACTAAAGACATCAGGACACGCAGGCTTTAGACTTCCATTAAATGGAATTAGATCTCATTTTCAAACTCTGCCATTTTTATAACTATTCGATTCAATTTCAGACCAGGCAGGCTGTTAAATGCTTTTTAGGTAGTTTTTTTTTCCTTCTTTCCTGGGGGTATTGATACACACGGCCCCTGGATTAGCCGACTATTTTCGCTTCTACACAGACGGACTGAAAGGCTGGTGGTAGAAGCTTTATGGTCCGCTCAGAGTTCCTGGGTTGGAAGCTTATGCAAATTGTGCAAACCCCGTTTCTGTACGAGTACTTTCACTGTTGATCATTGCTTAGCAACTAACAAAAAAACAGAACTCTCACAATGTTCGCTTGGGCTGATAAATCAAGCTGTTTCCTCTCTGCGTGGATCGCGGACCCTATCAAGAAGCTGGCGGTATCTCAGCTTGTCAGAAAATCACTTCTTTTATGAAGCCTTATAATTTATAATCGTGTTCACGAGAGCCCGCCACTGATCAAGTCAGGTGAACTAATTCCACACCTCGCATTATGAATGTTCAAGATACGTTCTAATATCATCCCCACATCGACGTTTATATCTGACAAGTGGTCTCATCCCTTCAGATTTACCGATTAAACTGCTGTATGAAATGCTCATCTGAGGTCCATGCTACACGCACCGCAAATCTTTCGTGATATTACAACTCTAATATATAGTAAAGTTAAGTACAGTTTGTCCCACTACACGCCATGTAGGCGCTTGGGGTGAGTGGAGGTATAGCTCCTCTCTTCCTTGACCTCGGCACTAGATGGGGGTGAGTGGTAAGCATCACGCCCCGGCCGGCTTCACCCCCGGGAAAGGACCCCGGTACCCATTGTAGAGGAGGCTGGGTGGACCCCAGAGCCGGTCTGGACGCAGAGGCTAGAGGAAAAATCCTCTGCCCTCGTCGGGGATCGAACCCCGGTCGTCCAGCCCGTAGCTAGTCACTATACTGACTGAGCTATCCCGGCTCATACTCTAATATATAGTAAGAAATACAAACTATGAAGCGATTTTCATGCAAAACAGAATAAAATGTTTCTCAAGCATCGCTTATTTCATATCTTAATTTGTATTTTTTATAAACTTTTAAATGACCCGCGTCTATTCTAGTGATAGCTGTTAGTAAAAGTTGCATAACCGCAGGAGGAGCCGTACATCATGATGCGAACCCCGGAACCCGGAGAGAACCTGACCGGAAACGAGCGATTTGAAGGTTACTGCAAGGACCTGGCAGATCTCATCGCTAAGAGACTGGGCATAAACTGTAAGTATCCATCCATTCGGTGCACTAACTGACCTATCCATCTCAGTGTAAAGACCACGAGACAAATTCACATCTCTTTAAGTCCAGAAGTAGACTGAAGTGGAGTATGATTGAAAATATGAGCGGACGACATGTTGTGACGTCATTTGTGTTGCAGATGAACTCAGCATCGTGAAGGACGGAAACTACGGAGCAGAGAATCCGGACGTTAAGGGCGGTTGGGATGGTATGGTCGGCGAGCTCATCAGAAAGGTACTGGTAAATTATTCAGCTACTGTGTCCCCCCCTCTCTCTCTCTCTCAACACAAAAGGAAGGGCATAATTCAGCATGACGTTTCGTACAGTCAACACAAAAGGAAGGGTATAATTCAGCATGACGTTTCGTACAGTCGGAATAAGTCCAACGTAATTAAAACTCAGTGTATGGTAATTTCATTATGTATATATCGTCGATAAAGACGCTTATATGAAACCTTAAACCAGTGTACAACATTGGTTTTCAGTAGTGAACGGGGTCAACTATTGAGAGTTTTCCAGTGTTTCGACAAACGTTTCAGTTGCCATCTTCAGGGAGAATGTGTGTTGGCTGGGTGTTTTAGGTAGCATTTTTGAGCAGGTAGTGGGTGGCCGGTGGGATGTGAAGGTTTTGATTGGCAGAAGAGAGGAGTGGGCTGTTATCCAATCGGTAAAGAGCATATGGTTAAGAAAAAGCTGCGAAGAAACTGGTCCTTCACGTATCACTCGCCATCAATTCCCTACTGTAGGTCTATATAATGCTTCCGAAAACACCCATTCGCCCTGAAGATGATAACAGCGAAGTTTGTCGAAACGATGGCAAATTTCAGCGTTCGAAAAGGCTCAATCCCGAAAGCCGAGGTTGTACGAAATATTACAGCTGCGTAAACAGTGACAAGAATTGCCGATGCATATTAATTAAGTCGCATGTCGTAACCTTTGACCTTTTGTACACAACGCAGGTAACAGAACTGTGCCTCGGAGGCACGAGCAATGTGTTTCAGATTCAGAGCATAAAAACATTTCTAACAAGGATATTCGAATTTATACCGAAATGTTTTTATAAGCTTCCTGCAAGCACTTCAAATGTAAATTCATATCAACCAAGGCATTAATGATTTAATAAAACTGCGATATTTTCCCTTGTTGTGTTGTTATAATCGACTATCGATACTACTTATCGATATACACACGTATCACGTATTTGAGAAATGAGTGTTGAGGAAAATGTTTGCATATAAAAAAAGCTATCCTTTCAGAGGACTGGAGAAACTAGCATATTAATGAGCTTAATAATTAGTGTATTTCAACAGATATTCGAGTTATTGGGTAAGTGTGGAACTGTCCGTTAAGTCTTTCATCACATTATTACGATCTTGGAGGACATTGTTTCACCAATGAACTTGACTCACGCTTGCAAAAATGAGCTAGGATTCCACTTTAATTATTCGTGTTTTTTCCGTCTAATCACAATTGTATATAAATAAAATTATACATAAGATATTAAAATATCATTTACATATTTGGTACAACTTTTTACTACATGTTTCGGTTACATTGAACCATCTTCAGGTGTAAAGTTAAAAGTTAAAAATTATAATCTTATAAACTAAAACTTAATTACTGTTGTTGTGTAAGTTCATAAGATTATAATTTTAACTTTTAACTTTACACCTGAAGATGGTTCAATGTAACCGAAACATGTAGTAAAAAGTTGTACCAAATATGTAAATGATATTTTAATATCTTATGTATAAATTTTATTTATATACAATTGTGATTAGACGGAAAAAAAAACACGAATAATTAAATTTTAATTCACAATATGACGCAATTATATCAACTTAGGATTCCACTGTTGTCTTTGACGTTTTCGCCCATGCTCTGTGTAAAAAAAATACCTTTGGGAATTTTGATGTATTCCAAAGATCGCACATTTGACAACTTATTATTTTCTGAATTGGTTATAAATCTTGAACTTGGTCCATGTCCAAATATCTGCTCCATATGCCAATATGGTAATGGGGTAATTTTTAAACGGGCATAATTTCCTCCTCTGAGAGATTTCTCATTTTCTGTGTAGTCTCTCACTAATTGTCAAATTTACCTTGAATTTTCATTCTCTTTGTCATTGTAATCCTTAAACTAACACAGCAAAGCAAGATAACAGACCTACATTTATTTAGATTACTCCGTGCATGTTTACCTTGAATTTTCATTCTCTTTGTCATTGTAATCCTTAAACTAACACAGCAAAGCAAGATAACAGACCTACATTTATTTAGATTACTCCGTGCATGTCGCGTAAATCGGGTTTGTTCGCGGCGAGACAGAAAAGTCTTTAGGTAACTCCGTAATCACCATAAGATTGAAAGCTTCTTCCTCAATGCCTGATCTTCCTGTACCTCACTAGATGTCAGCCTTTACCAAACGCCGCAGGATTTACAACTAAGTACAAGAATCTACCGTCAGAGTTCACTGTTCCTCGCGACGCTCGGCGTCGGTGCTGCCTCGCGACAAGAAGAGTTGTAGTCCTTGTCAGGGGATCGATTCCAAGAGTTTTCAAAACGGGACTGGGATGGAAACGTACATAATTTACGGCCGTATTCTAAAATTCCATAATTCCCGTTTGCCTAGACGAAACGTCGCTCGACGTTTAGGCCGCTTGCACGTGTATGTATTAGCTGATTTCTGGCTTATTTAAAGAACGACGTTCAATTTAAAAAGCACGTAAGTCGAAATAGACGACCGCGGCCTGCTTAGAGGAAATATCTCGGCCGGGATTACAGATTAACCGACATACTAACATGCTTGACGTTAGAGAAAAATAACTTACTTCACTGGTAAGTAACTAAGGAAGTGTCTGTTGTGTTAAACGTCCACGCTACGGCTTCGCTAATACCTGACGGGACACAAAACAGAATATTTCATTCAGACGCACAGAATATTATTTTTAGAATACCCACCCATAGGCGGTTCATTATTCTAAATTTGGTCCAAAGACTATTTTAGAATCCGCTTCGCTTATAAAAAAAATACAAATCAGTATAAATAATCTACCACCAAATTAGACCCATAGATATGAAGACAATAGGAGAGAATTTCCGAAACGTCGAATATAATAAAAAACACAAACGAGGAGCTGTGTTCAAAATAGTTATGACGTAAAAAAAATTACCATTTTTAGAGACATTCAGAAAATCACTCGTATAAAAAAAACGTATATCATATTAGTGAATCAGTCATTTTATACGTCACATATTAAGACATACATGCGAGACCGTACAAACAACGTCAGTAAACAACCACTCAGTGGAACTACCATTCCAGAGTAGACCAGCTAATGCAAGTAAATTACTATTTTTATTCTCGATAACGACTATCGACTGACATTATCACAAACATTTATACAGGAATTACACTGTCAAGCTATCACGGCACTGTTTACTCGACTATAATGACCGAGGATAAAAACAGTCACGAAAGATTCACTGATATTAATGAGCCTCTAAAATGTCTGCCGCATGGAACAATAATTCGATTTTATACAAAGCCTGTTTCCATAGCAACAAATACGCCGAAGCCAACTTCCAGGTGAGACCCCGTCACACCAATGTCTTACATCTCAAATTATTACACGAGACAATCAAATAACTCCGTAGACCTGAATTATTCTCGACGAACTGGTTAAGAAATTGTTTTCCGCTATTCCGCCATCAGATTTATCGACACCAAATAATTTAAAGTGTTACCAACACCAAGGATTATAAAAAAAAAGAACCAAACTAAGTCAAATTCAATTCCGAGTTCACGTGTATTTAGTCATAAACGATTCCACCGACACTGCTGACCTCAAATGTACAAAACACCGCACCAGCCCTCAAGTTCTCCGAACCTCACTCGATACAGTTACGAATTTCTGTTTTGATTTTTAGCTATTATTCGCATGATTTAAAAATATTCGCTATGCCACTCCGAAATTGTGGCATTCAGCCGAAACACTTCGCATAAAGACCTCCTCGAATGTAACGCGTACAGCTTTTACGCCTAGTCGTAAATATTTCTGTTGGGCGGATCGGTAATGATCGACCAGATTCTCGGCCAAACATCGAAAATTAAGCGCAGAACCACTGTCTCGTACAGAATAATTTTTCCTTAATAATACTGGGAACAAAAAGGAGATTCCCGAACGCCGGCCGAAGGAAGGAAGGAAGGTGGGGGTGACTGTGCCATGTGACGCAGTTTCCCCTAGGCAAGTGCGTGCCGCAACCTGCCCTACAGATCAGCTGTTGTCGCACATCGAAAGAACCCAATGACCTACTTCAATCAATGGCAGTATGATTGAAACGTTCGGCTTTGTATTCCACGGTTCTAGGGGCTGAGACGGCTGACTCACAGCAAAACACTGCGTGCGAGGCCATGATCAAAACGAGGGACGTGATTCTCAAGGTCACATCCCCAAATACCATAAAACTTTTTTTTTTGGGGTGTTGCACGGCAGACACGAAAAACACACACAACCTTTTAGTCGGGAAATCGAATGCCAGGCACCACTCGAAAGTCGTACGCGAAGTTAGGAGGATAATATTTAAACGGATATTTAACAAACAGGGTGTGACGAGTGTTGACCTCAATCAACTGACAAGTAGTAACCAGTGACGGGCTCTTGTGAACAAGATAATAAACCCCTTTATTTTTTTATTTTTAGTGTTCTGTCTGACGACAGGTCCATATGAACAGGATCCTTCCATCCTTTTCTCGGACTGGGACCTGTTCATATACGTTCTTGGCAGATGATCCAGACGTGGTTTGCCATTGCCTTCTTCTGTGTGTGAATGGGATGCCACGGAGAAACCGGGGATGCCCCCGGAGGAAAACTCCGTGATGCCTAGACCACGGCCTTGCCCAACACAAGTTATAAATTCGGGCACCGCCGAGAATCGAACCCGAGGCCCCAGGATTACAAGGTTCGATAAAAGGCACATAATTACACGATTAGCTAGAAGAAGTTTCTCACAAAACATTACATTCCACGTAGGATTTGAGGTTTCCGCGGCTGTGAGTCCGAAGATGGCAGTCTTCTGGGTTGTTGCGCCGTGTTGTCTGGTAGAAGTTTACCAACGTTTTAGAGGTCCTTGCCGCCTACGTCATCAGGGCGTAGAGGGCTATCAGACTAAACGGTGCTACAACCCAGAAGACAGCCATCTTCCACTTCACTCCTGTGCCTGATCATGGCACCCGATGCTTAAGCGCCTACTTGATTTATAAGTTGCACTCCCGTATCGGTGTATCCTGGGCACAATTACAGAGTACTACAATCCCACTGTTATCTTGCAGGAGGCCGACATAGCAATTGCATCCATGACGATTACTTCCGAACGAGAACGTGTCATCGACTTCAGCAAACCCTTCATGTCGCTGGGAATAAGCATCATGATCAAGAAGCCGGTTAAGCAGAAGCCGGGCGTCTTCAGCTTCCTCAACCCCCTGTCCAAGGAGATCTGGGTGTGCGTCATCTTCTCGTACGTGGGCGTGAGCATTGTCCTCTTCATCGTGTCCAGGTTCTCGCCTTACGAGTGGCGTCTTCTGCACTACGGTGACGACGCCGGCCATCAGCATCCCGGTGTGGGTGCATCCCCTTCAGTACCCAGCACAGTAGCTAACGACTTCAGTATTCTTAACAGTCTGTGGTTCGCGTTGGGAGCCTTCATGCAACAGGGTTGTGACATATCCCCCAGGTTAGTGAAGTCTGTACTGTCGTAAACAAATTGAGATTTACTGAGATCTGATTGGATGTTTCAGCGGCTACCAGAACGATGCAGATACCTTCGATGATGTACCACCGTACATGATCATTACGTACCGTAAGTGCCTCCATCCTCCTGTCCTTTCCCCTGCTTTGTTTTAAAACCCGTCTTCAAACTGTTTACGCTTCGCTCTGTGTCTGCAGGTCCATCTCAGGGCGTATCGTCGGCAGTGTCTGGTGGTTCTTCACCCTGATCCTCATCTCGTCTTACACCGCCAACCTGGCGGCATTTCTCACCGTCGAGCGCATGGTCGCGCCAATCAATTCTCCCGAGGACCTGGCTTCACAAACCGAAGTGCAGTACGGGACATTATATCACGGCTCGACCTGGGACTTCTTCAGGGTACGTCTTCTTTTTACCACGACCAGAAAGATAACTGATTCAAATCAAGCCGTTGGTTCGAATTAAATTGTCTTCAAAGCCAAATACAAGTAACTCGGAATTGAAAAATCTCTAGTCTCTGCCTCGTATATTATTCAAACACACTGTTTCAGTTGCACACGTTACATGATAAATATTCATAATCACAAACTCAATAGAAAAGTCGAATAAAAAGTCCTATCCTTGTAACATGGCGTTTTTTACAAGCTGCGCCTGCTTTAACATAATCAACAGTAATTATTTCCCTCGACAGCATTAACCGATTGATGTTTGCATAAAAACAGGTTTTCTTTGAGGCAAGGCTTGCATTTTTATACATTATTTAGGTGAGCTTCGGGCTTCAAAGGTCCGTCATCATTTCTGCCACCCTACATACAACTATTATGTAGCTGAAACTCCTGTTTGCGTTACAGAAATCCCAGATCACGCTCTACAGCAAGATGTGGGAATTCATGAGCTCTAGAAAGCACGTGTTCGTGCGCACGTACGACGAGGGCATAAAGAGGGTACGCACGTCGAAAGGGAAGTACGCTCTGCTCATCGAGTCTCCCAAAAACGACTACATCAACGAGAGAGAGCCGTGCGACACGATGAAGGTTGGACGGAACCTGGACGCAAAGGGGTTCGGCGTCGCGACGCCTCTAGGTTCCCCACTCCGGTAAGTGTCACAGCGACTGTCATCTGGCTTGTGGCTCTTGGGTAGACACTGTCGTTTCGAAGGAACATACCGCCTCCATCTTCGGGACTAAAGTCTCTGGGTTATAGAGGTACATAGCCATGTTTCGTAAAATCCAGACTGCAGGTCTACAGCGTCGCTGAACTTCAACAAACCTACAGGACTTTGTCATGCAAGGGTTGGATGGGGCGTGGAAGGAAAAGTGGAAGGCCTACCGAAAAGTAATAAATCTTACAACTCGAGAGGCCAGATGTAGCTTACATACTCAAGAAATTCGCCGTCTCTTGAAGGAACATCACCTTTTTACAAAACAGCCCGCCAATGGACCACGATCCTTGAGCAGGGTATATTCAGTTCATACTCTCATATAAAATAATTCATTCTTTGTCTGGGTCTCCCATGTTAACTCTTTAATTCGGGTTTTCCTACTAACATTTTCTATAAATTTATCATCTCGCAAGAAATCCCGACCAGGAAATTCGAAAACTTGATTGGTATTGATGAAAATCTTGGCGGTTAACACCATAGCCAACAGCTCAAATGAATTCTGCACAAGCGGACGGAAGTATGAACATCAATCTCCATATAACGCGTTCATTTATGCCCTCCCCGCAAAGCAAGTACGAGGCCTCGCGAACCTCTGACTTACGCGACCGCCGCCAAGCGTCTTCTAGGCGCCGGCGTCCCTCTTTTGCACAAAGGCATTTACCGTAACAAAGCACAGAATGTGATGTGAATACCACATCAATTTTGCTACGGTAGTAACAAGAAAACTGTGTCACGAAAAAATGATTACGCAGTACAGCGCGAAGGTCGAAGGTTTTCACGGGCGTCAGTACTTTGAATATTGCGTAGAAGAAGACAGGAAATGTTTCGCAAATCTTTCTACGTACAAATTCTTCGCTGCAGAACGTACGTATGTAAATGCTGAATTTCCTTCTGTACGTGCAAACGTAACATTAGTAAAACTCACACACTGTTCCTGATTAACTCACACGTGGATCCACACGTAAATTAGTTTCGGAGTAATTTTATTCTTATTAAAAATTCTGGGGTAAAAATATATAACTTGCGTTTTCAGGAACATTACCCACATAGAATGTTTAGGGTTTGCAATGTTTCTCTAAAACAATGTTTGCCGAAACGCTTCAGAAACCTTCGCCACTTTACACGGCCTATTGCCGAAAGGCCGATGGTGCCCTTAGCAGGCAAAGAGTTACCAGCATCATAAGGCACATGGTCGCTGACTGCAGATGGAGTAATTCAAAACGTGAATTCATAGTTCGATGGTGTTCAAACTCATTTAAATCACACACGATATGACAAGTATTTTCAGCGTTGATCGTTAATATACTTTAATAAAAAGATTAATTTACGCAAAAGTTAAACGATTATGTCGTGTTCTCGACAGACTCGTACACAACCAGTTTCAATCATGCGCAATAATTTCCTTGGATTGTTATATCATGAGTTTCCAATCCAACAAATTTGAAAGTAGTTTTTCATATAAAATATCCTGTCAAAACTTTTGAACCGGAATAAAAAAAAATATTCAAGGTCAGCGGGGTGTAGAGATATGACTGAAACATTAGCTGGCGTTAATGGCATTGAGTGGGACTAATGGTCGCGTTCATGAGAATCCATCAATGTATCACAGTGACATCACACGAGCGATTTCAATACCCCCAACCCTCAATCAAACAACATCCCCTTTATCATAAATGAGCGTTCTCAAATGTTTCTGTGTTACGAAGAGACAAATGTGTGGAGGGGGTATTGATATTCCAGTAACAAAATATTCAGTCCTAAGCTCGAAAATGTTTAGGGCCCCGCGGACAGAACCCCCTTTCCCTTAAGAATAAAATAATTAAACTTAGAACCGGTCGAATATCCGTACGATCCTGGTTTTACTTTCAACAAACTAATGAATTCTCACGTGTGACAACATAAGACTTGAGCGAGAACGCGGACTGAAGAAACTGTGGTCCATGGAGACTGTTAGGCAGACGTAAGAGGCAATGGTTCTATGCCCATAAACGCGAGTCATAAGGACGAAAATACCTTAATAGTGTTACCATGACAACGCTTGTAATAATTTAAGCATAACGCACAAACATACAGTCATAAATAGGACAGAAAATCCCTTAACAGCATTACCATGACAATGCTTGTAATAATTTAAGCAATACAAACATAGTCACAAATATTGCACCATACACTAAGATACTGACTTTGCTCATAAAATAACTAATTAGATCTTATTACTGAGAAGCTAACAGTCACTCAGCTGGTTCCCTGACTTTTATGTAACCCGAAAGTTTATTACCGTATTCACAAGAGGGCGACACCGACCCCTATTCTTAGCCACATTAATCCAATCCACAACCTCGCACCAAATTTATTCAACATTCATTCGTACTCAAAACTCCCGATTAAAATGTTATATTCATTGCTAATATATATCTCTCTCCTTCAGAAATGTTGTGTTCCTTAGAAAAAGACAAGTCGCTTCAAAGACACTTGGCACACAGCCAAAATGTGCTTCAAATATAAGTCGTAGATCTTTATAAGAAATATAATTTTATGTCCAAGTATTTTGTACGACGAGCTATTTCTAGCTGTTCTGTAACTACCATTGGAGGTTAAATTAATCTGCAAAAAATCACAGTAAAGGACTCCCCAACTTCATCGCAAATTCCTTGTGTCATTTCAGAGATAAAATATTCCGACGGACAGACACAGCCTCCCACTTATCCGTTCATTACACGTATTTCATATTACGCCTTCAGTTAAGCAAACGGAGATTAAATCACATTCCTCTGCCACTGCTGGCACCCTAAAGTGTGTCCATATTCTGTGGCAAACCCATCACATTTCCCACCATTCCAGTTCTTTTCTTCAAGAAAACAGTTGACAGCCCTGAACTGGTTCAGGCACATCGCAGCGGTGAAATGAAATGAGGGAATCGAGCATATTAAAGACACATTTTAGTAGGGATTAAAAATGAAATTGATGTTTAAATTTCCGCGGCATACTTCTGAGGTGTCATTCACTGCCACGCAAAAAAAAAAAAAAAAAAAAACTAAATCCTGAAAGACGTCCGAGTTCTCAACATCGTATTTGTCCTGTACATAATTTTTTATCTTTAGAATTTGCCCACGTGTAACTACGCTTATCAACAAAGTTCACGAACTAAACACAAAAAGGCTGTCTGTTATTCACCCTACACAATTAACAAGCAGCTGCAACCCCCGGGAGGGATGAGGGGGTGTTTGTGGGGGGGGGGAGTTCATACCGTACTGCAGTTGACCCCTGACATTCAGACAACCCAGCTACGCATCCTTGTCAGGGCGATGTTACGTACGGCACAATCCCACGAGTGCAGTCTTGCAACAAGGAAAGAAAGAAAGAAAGAAAGAAACAAATCGGCCACAAGATAAAAAGGACGACTTTATTCCAGAATTTTCTAGGCCGGCAATCGTTGTCCTGAGCCATTCAGTGGCTTCTGCGAATCATTCCAACAATTGCAACAGCTTTACTCGAATTTCACTTTCGATTTTCCGTACTGCTTTGTGCTTTTAATTTCCATCTTTCAAATGTTATCATCGCAACTCATATTCCTCCTAAATGTTATATTTAAACTGCCCCTACCCGTAGTAAAATAAAAAAGCTGTACAATTGCAACAGCTTTACTCTACAGACTTCAGATTGCATAAGATAACTCATCATCAATAGCAATCACATCCCACGCTTTATCTGTCCATGTTTCAAGGTCAAACCTTCACCCTGTTGCTAAGTACACAGCAGATTTTGACAAAAAATTTAAAACTAATTAAATTAATTAAGATATTCCTGAAGATTTTAGCTGTTTTCAGGACATTTGAAAGACTGTAATCTTCGTTTCTGTAAAAGTTGATTATTTTCTACTTGTATTCCATGCGATATAAAGACTGCAATGAAGCACTCGAGATAAAATCTGTTCAGCGATATAAAATTTTGGGAAATCCTTACCTTAGTTTCGAAACAAAAATTTCGACGGATTGACAAGGCACGTACTCCACAAAATCTATGTCAAATTTATGCACTTATTTGCATTAAATGTGCCAATAAAAGTTTAAAGAAAATTTATATGAAAAAGTCCACTACTTTCGCTGTAGCAAAACACAAACAAAAACAAAAATATCAGATTAATCGAAGTAAGGACACTCAAATACGGCTAATATTACAGCTAAAATTTTTTCCACACCTTACCCTATTGTTTGTGCGCGTACATGACGCGAAAAGGATCGTTATCATGCTCCATCTCGTCGCATAAAAAGCAAAAACAGCTGACTGCGTCAGCAGCGAACAAACCAATAGAAACTTTAAATATTCCACCCCTCGTCGCTATCAGATAGTTTTCTAACAGAATGGCATTTCACCAGTTTGGCGACACAAGTCGCTGATTTCCTTGCGAATGTTGGCGAAAATCGGGCTCAGAGAATAACACGACGGTGACGCGGCCACTAAACAAATCCTGCATAATTCAACGCTGACCGGAAACCAGAAGCGTCGGAACGTCCAGTGCATTTTGTACCGCGGAACCACCAACGACTACCAG